GGCTTGACTCGTTGGGCATCCGGCCATGCCAGTTTTAGTTAGACACAGGAATGATCTCAAGAGGAACATATTTGTATGTCTGCACAGAGTGGGGTGGCAAAGACCAGAAGCTCTGTCTGATTTGAAACGCTTGTGAGACATTCCAGTGGAAAAGTCAAGGAAGTCTGAGGTTCAGGAGAGAATTCTGAGCTGAGACTATAACTTTAAAAATTTCCAGTACATAAAAATTGAAGGTCATGGGAAGGAATGAGATCACCAAGAAAGAGTAGAAACAGAGAAGTCGGGAATAAATATTACAAGGCTTTAACACTCAACACTGGGAGGAGACCATGCAGCCAGCAAAGCATCCTGGGAAGAAACAGCCAGAGGGGTAGGCACTGAGAAGAACCCAATTCATTTGGCTCCATGGAGGTCACTGGTGGTTCCGGAGGGGCAGTTCTGGTGGGGAGGTAGGAAGTAAGAAAGCACAAGAACAAGTCCCCAGATAACATTACGAGAGGAAATGGGATGGCCTTTGGGGAGGAGCAGGACAGTGTCCTTTTGTACAGGGGGGAGACGGGTAAGGATGTATGAAGATAAAAGCAGTTGTGTGGATGCCGTATTGGAAAGATTCATCTATCCTGGTGGAAGCCAGTCATCCATGGTATGCTCTAGAGAGATAAGGAGGAATAAGATACAGAATAAGGGTCAAGTTTTTCACTCACAAAGTTGAGAAGATAGAAAACTAGATCTCATGGTATCTGCTATTATAAAATCTGAGATGGAGGTAATTACAGGACATTGAGGGAGACCAACATGAAATGACAGCACCAGGTACTGATCTAAGTTATGTCTATATAATATGATACCTAGACAAGCCGCCAAATAAGGACACAAAAGAGATATACACAAAAACGTTACAGAGAAGATGAAATCAAATTCCTCAAAACGTTCAGGAAACCCACAGAAAAATAGCAAAAAGAAAAAAAAAATGAAAAAATAAAGAACATACAAAAAAAAGGGGGCAGACTTGAGCCTTACCATATCTATAACTACATTAAATGTAAATGGTCTAAATGCTCCAATTAAAAGAGAAATTGGCAGAGTTGAGGAAAATATGACTTAACCACATGCTGTCTATAAGAAACTCACTTCAAGTATAAAAATATAGGCAGATTGAAAGTAAAAGAATGGAAAAATCACACTATACAATCATTAAAACAAAAACAAACAAAAAAAGGAGTAGCTATACAGAAACCAAAAAAAAAAAAAAAAAGAGCAAAGAGAAATGACCAGAGGTAGGGTGGAACACTACATAATGATAAAAGAGTCAATTTATCAAAATATAGAATCCTATATATTTATATGCACCAACTAACAGAGATGGAAAATACGTAAAGCAAAAACTGATAGGATGGAAAGGAGAAATAAATCCACAAATAAAGCCAGAGACTTCAACACTATTCTGAACAATTGATAGAGTAACTAGACAAAAAGTCAGAAAACATAAGAACTCAATAACATCAAACTCAACAACATTAAATAGGATGCAATTAATATTTACAGAGCATTCCACCCAACAATAGCCGAGTTCACATTCTTCTAAGTGCCCATAAAACATACTGATATAAGCCAAATTTGAATCATAAAAAAGCTTCAACAAGTTTGTGAATTGAAGTCATATAGTGTATGTTCTCTGACCATTATGGAACCAAACTAGAAATCAGTAAAAGATTAAAGCAGCTCTCTATAAACAGCTGCACATTGAATAACACACTTCGAAATGACCCACGCATCAGAGAAGTTGTTTCATTGAACTAAATGGCAATAAAAACACAACATGTCAACATTGGTGGGATAAAGCCACAATGGTGCTGAGACTAAAATGTGCAGCACTAAATGCTTACATTATAAAAGAGGATGTCTCAAATCAATAATCAAAGCTTAGATTAGATTAAGTTAAAAAAAACACAAAGTTTCAGGGCTAGGGAGATAGCTTACTGGTAGAGGCCTTGCCTAGCATATGTGAGGCCCTGTGTTCAATCCCCAGCACCACACACATGTACACAAATAAAATCTAAACATTCCCAATGAAATGGATCAACTGGAAAAAGGAGGGAAATAATAAAGATAATCAATCATTGAAATTAAACACTGAAAAATCTATCTAAACAGAGAATATCAATGAAACAAAAAAACTATTTTAAAAATAGATAATCTCTAGTAAGACTGACCAAAACAGAAAAAGGAAAAAAGAAGAAAGATAAATGATAAGTACCAGGAATGAAATGGGCTAGTACTACAGATCTGTATGCATCAAAAGGATAATAAAGAAATGCTATAAATAACTCTAGACCTGTAAACATGACAATTTAAATGACACAGAGTAATTACTTGAAGAGCACACATTATTACAACTGATTAATTAGCTCATTAGAAATCCAAGAAACAGTATAACTATTAAGGAAATAAAATTTGTAAGCTTTAAACATTTCCAAGCCCACATGGCTTCAATTCCCAGTCTGCTTTATCTCCAAGAGCACTGGGCACTGGGGGAAGAGGCAGCGTCAGATGGGAGCATCCAAACACACCAGGAGTCCCCAGATCTTTGCAGGAAGACAAACAGGTGTAGCCGCTTGGAGCTCTTGTGGGAATCTCTTTATTACAGCGGTTATTACAGGTCAGCTGGACTGACATTCACAAGGACAAGCAGCAGTCATGGAAGAAAAGGTCAAGGATCTTTGTATATATGTTTACCAGAGCAGGGAAGTAAGCAGTATGTTTTCAAAAGACTTTGGGGTAGGGGAAAAATTCTGATTACACCTGTAAAAAATCACTTACGGTAAGCATTTAGTCATCTTCCATGACAGAGGAATGAAGTGTGCATGTGTGTGCTGCATAAGTATGCAGGCTGCATTATTTCAGGGGAAAATCTTACTTTGGTCTTGGAGAAAGAGAGAGGAAAAAAACCCACTCCATATCATTAGTCTTTTTTAAAGGTAGGGAATTACAATTTTGTGATTAGACTAGGAAATAATTATAGGCCAAAGTAGGACAACTTAATAGAATTAGTGCTGAAGAATTAACTTAAACTACACACACAGAACCACCGTCCGGGGTCTTGATTACGAGATAGGGATTACTGCAGACAAATAATTCATCCTGTCAGTTCCTTTCATTGCAAAAATAGGAAGGGAACAAATAAGCAAGAATCAAGGACCTGACTTGCATATTCACAGCACAAGATTATCAGTGGCTGGAGATTGGAAAGCAATAGCCAAAAGCTTCTTACTGTTTTAGAGAAAGTGTATAAGCACATCACTGATAATGCATGTGTTTTAAAATTGAGCTTTCATTGGAAATATTTCCTGGAGATGGCTCCAGAATTATTCCCAATTAAGAAAAGTTTGCTAGATCCAATAGTCTGTGAATCTTTTTTTCTAATACAAAACATACATAATTTACGCTTTTGACAGAACTTAATCCCTACTGTGCTTATCTGAGCCTTAAAGAGATGAGACAATCTGCTATTTTTTTTAAAAAAAATATGTATTTTTTAGTTGTTGATGGACCTTTATTTTATTCATTGGTTTTTATGTGGTGCTGAGAATCGAACCCAGTGCCTCACAGGTGCCAGGCAAGAGCTCTACTACTGAGCCATGACCCCAGCCCCCAAATCATCTGCTTTTATTCAGATAGATGAGAAACCAAAATTACCTGTTACCTAACTGCTAAGAGTGCAGTGCTGTGGTGTCTCACTGCCTAGTGTAGACACCTTGAAATAAATGAACTGATCTGTCACAAGTGCAAAGCCTTCAGTGGCCCTCCCTGCCCCTGCCAGCCTTCCCTCCCTGCGGTGTTCTCTGATTGCCAAACTGATCTCCAGATTCACAGAGCCCTTCTCACACCCCTGGTGCCCCAGCTTCCCCGAGCAAGGAGAAGACCCCACAGCGGTGACCCCGGGGCCACATTCTGCTCAGACACCTGGAAACTTTCCTTTCCTCTCATTTCTCCTCCTTCTTGCTTGCTCTCTCTGCATTATCTGTATTGTTATCTAGACAGTGAATCACCCATGCAGCACTCCACGGTACCTCTGCATCTACTTTGCTACATTAAAATCAATTCAATGGCATATGTATTTGGTATTGCATGTAAAAATGACTTATTAAAAAAAAAAAAAACTCCTGGAATTGTCTTTCCACCCATCCTGTTTATCCAAACTTGACAACACGCAATCCAGGTGATGAGAAAAAGGAAACAGAAGTGTAGGGAAATCTGGCTCCGGTGTTTTCAAACTTGCTTTACAACACCAGCGTTTTCTGAAATGCAGGGTAGAAGTGATGAATGCTGAGTGGATATTTTTTCACCTTAACTGACTGATCAGAAGAGTATTTATAACCCCCCTGACGGATGTCTCAAGCTGATAAATCAACACCGAGGGAGAATATTTCAAGCACATTTATCATTTAAGACAAACAGCCCGGACTGCGCGTGATCATTTTTTATTCATCATTTTAGCTCACCTCCACATTTGCTTCTTCTCAATGTTAATAATATCTGTATAAAGCTGCTCAATATTTAATGTTACAACTTGCCTGCTGCATGCCGATGAGCTTAAGGTCACGTGTTTGATCTCTAGAAGGTTGGGTTAGCTTTGCCAAAAGAGAAAGAAAAGAAAAAAAAAAGGAAAAGAAAAGGTGGTGGGGGTGGGGAGAGGAAGGGAGAAAGGCAGATAAAACGGCTCGATTGCCCAGGGAAGCCTGATTCTGGTCCGCTTCCTTGTAAAAATATACTCGTTGCTGGTCTCCCTGTCACAGGACATCACAGAATTAAAGTTTTAAGGGGAATTAAGGCCAAGGTATTTCAACAGACTTGCCCGACTGCGTAGAGGCTCACGATCAATGGAACCTTCTAGAGAAGCACAATCCCATCTCTGCCACTCAACTCACGTCCTGCAGAGCCGGCTAGTGAGTGGCAGCCCTGTCCCACCCACAGGACGGCGACAGACAAGAACATCTTACCTGTTCACCCTCCTCTTCATCGCTACTTAGCTTAAGGTCATCTTCCAGCATTCTGAAAGGGACAGAGAGGTACAGGTACTTAGTAGTTTCGAAATCACTTAACACCAAAAAGTGTCACCTTTCTAAGAGCAACGTTTCAGTAATAATAAATCTGCTTGATTTCCTAATTATTATTTTTTTTCTTTCTCTCTTAAGGGCTTTCCCTCTGAGCCACCAAGGAAACAGCAGACAGTGTCACCACGAAAATCAGCCCTGGCGACAATCACTGGACGAGAGGGAAAGCTTCCAGAATGAGTTGATTTAGACAAAACGAACCAAAGGGGGCTTTTCCCCAGGCAGTTTTAATTTCACAGTTACTTGTTCATTGTTTTTCATGTCCAGGGGCTGGGCTGTGTCCCTGTGCCTGCCTGGGGGTGGGGAGTGGGGGCGTTCATGGTAAAGAAAATGGAAGACTAAGTAACACTCTGCTGGGAGCCAGGCAAAATAACCTTTAGCTGTGAGCAACCCAGCCTTGGTCCTCTACCTGTGTATGTGAGGGCTGGAGAAGTCATCGGCCCCAGACCCTGCTGGGTGGAGAAAACCCAATGGGAGGGGCTTTGGGGACCACTCCCCACCCACTCGGGTGCCTCCAATTCTTCCTAACAGAAGCAGTGAGTCCATTAAAGCTAAGAGAGAAAAAGAGAAATGCAACTTCAGACCCTATTGTTTCTGATGATGAAAAACTGTATTCTTATCAGCACCTCTGAGTTCTTTCTTTCTACAATAGAAGTTTTCAAATGGACTTATTGAAAAAGAAATCTTATTCAGAAATGCCATCTATAAGGAGTTGTCCTAGGGCCCACGCTGCATGCACCGGGGGCTCCACCATGGGTCTGAAGGCATCTGAGCCCTTGTGCTTAAAGACCTCATTGTCCTCCTTGAAGTCGGCTTCCCAAGACTGTCCCCCAACACGGGTCTGGTGTTCTTTAAATGCCAATGATAGGCCTATCATCAAAAGATGCCTCTGAATTTTTTATGATCCATGGTAGGGATTTCAGTGATGAAGCAGGCAGGGTGTGGACCCAGGGCTGCTCCAGGTGTCCATGCGAGTTACTTGACCTACCCTCTGCCCACGGGTCCCCTTATCCCTATTTGTAAATAGGTGATCTTGAATGTGTGATCCTGCTTTAGAGTCTGAGAGTCTGTGAAATGAATTTGCTTTTCCTGTTTCATAGTCAAGAAAAATGGAGAACACAGCTAAGACATTTCTGTCATTTCTGATGTACAAGTGGAGCCATTACCAGCAGGACACCAATGCCGTGTCCCCACAGGCCCCTCAACCCTCCCAGTGGGGGCACACCTCATTGCTCTAGTCTTCAAATCCCAAGGAAACACACACGTCAGCCTGGGGGGGGGGGACTGTGGGGCTCCCCGACATCACTCTGTGCTCCTGGTAAGTGGTTCATTTCCTCGAGCTCACAAACCCACACACTTGGCTTCTCAGAGAACAGCCATCTTGGTGATTTATTAGCGCACCCTTTGGAAATAACCTAGGGAAGGGGACTGTGTTTCCTTTGCCCTTGCACAGTGACGGTGCAGAGGACAACCCCAGTTGGTTGGCGAGGCCACAGCACTTTCCCTAAGACCGATTTCTATCAAGACACAAATGCCTTTCTGGTTCAAAAAAGACGAAAAAAGGAGGCAATTTCTTGGCTCCACTCCTCATCTCTTCTTTTGAGGTAAACTACCAATCAATCTCCAGGATGCAGGGCAAGCCTTGAGTGTTCTCAGAGTGGGTGGTCCTACGGGTAGGTGGGCAAAGGGAGGGGCCCACACACCTGATGGTCGTGGAAATCATATCAAGGGTGACGGGAAACTTAATCTTTATACGTGCACCGCTCTGAAGACCCTGCCAACCAGAGCAAGACACCTTGGGGTGCCCTGCAGTCGGGGTTCTTAGCCTGGTTGCACACCAGCTGGGGGGACTTGTCACCCGATGAGGCCGGCTGTGCTGCAAGCCACCACAATGGCAAAGGCAGTGTGTGAGGTCCTCTCTTAAGGGAGGGAGCAAAGTGAACTTTTGTTTATTTTAAGCACGTTCTAAACGTGTTGCAGTGGCTTGAATGTGATCCTCTAACATTCATGATTTGGAAAGTTAGTCCCCAAAGTCATATGTGGATGGTATTTGGAGATGGGACCTTGGTGAGGTGACTATTGTTAGAGGAGCCCATGAGGGTAGGACTCCCACGATGACATTAGGGGCTTTAGAACAAAAGGAAGAAAGACGTGAGCTAGCACAGTTGCACTGTTTCTCTACATGCCGCCCTCCACCACGTTATGATACAGCAGGAAGGCTCCCACCAGATGCCAGAGCCATGTGCTTGGACATTTTAGCATCTAGAACCATGAGTCAAATAATTACCTGGTCTCAGGTATTTTGTCATAGCAGCAGAAAACAGATAAAGACATGAATCAACATATAAACACACATCTATTTGATTCTCATATTGTTCCTCATACTCCCAGATCCTGGGCAAGTCATATCTCCGGGTCTTGGCATTTCTAATAATGGGACTCCTTTACTTTTGTCATTATTGCTGAGAGCCATAGCCGAGTTGGAGTGGTTGAGAGGTGACCAGCAAGCCATTGAGATGATAATGGTTATGTTAAGCTGTGTATTCAATTGTATTTTAGACCCCTGCTGTCTGCCTCGTGCTGCTACTTTGGAATTCTCGCGGGGATTCCCGGAGAGTTCCCATTGGTTGGGGAAGTGCGGGAGTTGGGATTTCCAGAGGAGGGATTTTCTGGTTGGTGTGGTGTGTCCCGGGAGAAGGTCGCGTGCGTGGCGTTCATGGGAGTTCGGAAATAAAGTTTGTTCCTGCTTCAGTGGCTCGTGATTTGTGCCCAGCCAGACTGCAGCAAGTATTTCTAGAAGAAAAGCAACCAGGGTTCCACATTGCTCTGTGCATAACAATCATTTGATCACTTAATTTTTTAAAAAAAGAATTTATTGTGTTTCTGGCTAAGTTCTAAAAAATAAAGAATCACATGTGTATTAGTCTATTTTCTGTCACTATAAGAAAATGCCTGAGGCTGGGTACTGCACAAAGAAAAGAGCCTTATTTACTTAACAGTTTTGGAGGTTAAAAGTCCAAGATTAGGTGGTCTCATCTGTTTGGTTTCTGGGGAGGGTTCCCCTGGCAACATCACAATGTAGTACATAGTATAGTAGAGATCACATGGTGAGACAGGAAACCAGAGAGGGATTCAAGCTTGCTCTTGTAAGAACTAACTTGCTCCATAAGACCAGCATGAATCCCTTCTGAGGGGATTAATGACCAGCTCTTACCATGACCACTCTCAAGACCAAACTTCCAGGACATGAACCTTTGGGGAGCACAAACCCTATCCAACCCCCAATAGCATATAAAAATACTTCTAAAGAGACTTCAAGATAAGTTCAAATCCAATGAAACCTGAGAATCTCTCAGGAAGTGAGAAAATGGCAACGGTGGTACCACATTGAGCAGCTGTACACACTCCCAAAGCCACTCAGGGTGGGGCTGTCACCAAGACATGGAACCACAGCCGTGGGCAAGTCAGTTACGGCCACACCGTGCTCCGACACCCGACAGGCGCACGGTACCCGCTGAGGGAGCTGAGGCTCTATGTCCCATGCCACCCGAGAGCACAAGCTCTTCTGCTGTGTTCTGACGGTCGCCCTTGGGTCCCCTGGGCTCGGCTTCTGAAGAACAGCGCAGCTTCCCTTTTGCCACACCCACCTCTGGCGGGACACTCACCAAGCCCTCCATTTTTAATGCTGAACATATCAGAGTGGACTCTCAGGCGGCCTGAGGAAAGGCAATGTTTTGAGGTCACAGCTGAACAACGAAACTTGGTTAGAGAGGGAAAGAGAAAAATGATGTCACTCTCGGGACCCTCAGACCCGACCATGTTTGGCGTGTGGCGAGGAGACTGCGGGTCGTGGCCCCACACAATCGGCACTGCTGTGCTAACACCCCATGACCTGCTCCGGGTCCCTGGGGCATATTTTGATCATTTGTCTATTTCCAAAAGGAAATCGATTGGCGTGGGTATATTAAAGAACAAGCAAACAAAAATGTCAAACCAAGAGTGGAAATGAAAATGGAAATTGGAGTGTTGGTTAGGCCTTGGAAAGGGGCCATGGCTCTCTGATACCGTTTTGGATAAAGGACGGCAAAGATCGATGCTCTAAAGGGTCAGGATGGAGTCTGGGATTGGTCACCTGTACCAAAGGGAGAGGTCTGTGCTCGGGCATCTCACCTGGCTCATGCGGCACCTTCCACACGCCTCACCCTCAGCACCTCCAGGCCTTCCTCTGCCGGTTCCTTCCCTTCCATCCCTTAGAACCCTCTTGGGCGAGGGAACCCATGCTCGCAGGGGCAGCTGTCATGGTTAAATGGAGGCTTGCTGAACGGAGCAGCTAAGCAATTTCTAGATGTTACCTCGTCCACTCCCCAGGGCGATTCCTACTGGTTGGGGTGTGCCCTGCTTCAGAGGTCACAGTCAGCAATGCCATTTTCTCCAGGTCTCAAAATTGGGATGCACGGGCACACGTAACCCTAGCAGAAGCAACTGCCGTGTTAAAGGTAAATTCAGTAGCTGTCAGAAAATGGAGGAATTTGACACAATCCTTCAAAGTTCAGCATTTTATTATCATAACTTCCCCGTCTGCATTATTTTTCTTAATCGAGCAAGAAACAAATCTATGTTGTAGCTGATGCTCACCTTTCAGAGGCCTGAATATCTCAGGAAGCAGAAATAACAGGCTTCCCTGAACAGACGGGCCTCTGCTGCTGATGCTTATCTGAATCCAACACAGGAACTGCACACGGGCACAGTCAGCATCTCCGATGCAGAGGCAGCCGTTTCACAGAGCAGTGGTTTTTAATTAATAGGATTTCCCCTGAATTACCTGTCATTTGGGGCCCTTAGAAGATCTGAATCCTTTAGCCCTTTAAAGTTCATTTCATTTTGCTTCATCTGAATGGCTTTTAAAAAATCTAAGTTTTAATTGGGCTGTTTGATTTT